TATTGACGATATTGTGGGTAAAGAAATTGATCACATGCTTTAAATGGAGCTGCTTTTCAGTTAGAAAAGTAATCAATTACTTCTAGAATGAAGCGGTGCTGACTGGTGATGGCTGATCTATCAAAACGATTATATCTGTGCCCCAACATTCAAATGGTCACACTACAACTATTTGATATAGAGGATTTGATGGTTGATATATAATATCACCCTATATTTGACACTAGTGGTACCTCTTGGCGTGGTTAGTAATAAACCATTCTTTTGATTTTAGCAGTCATTTTAGGACTTGCCTGATGTGCATCATTAAGCCCTTCGTGGACTTCTACTATCACTCTATTAGCTTCCTTGGTCCCTAGGCCTCTTAGCCATATTTGATCAAAAACTCATTAGTATAATGTGTTGTTGACTAATGTGTATCGCAATGCTCTCTTCCATATTTATTGGCTATAGATTTGAAATAGTCAATCTTAAATGAATGATAGCCTCCAATTATCTTCTAGTTCAACTTCTGAGCAATGTAGTCTTGACTCATGGTTTTAAATTTTTTGACTACATGGCTCATTTATAGTTGATCTTCGATAGTGATCTGCTGGGATGATTTAGGAACAACTAGGGTTGTATCCTTCTAGCATGTATCTGGTATTCCATCTACCCGTGTGAATCGTAATATTACTGGCTCTAGAACCCGACAATTGTAAACTCTAATCAGTATGGGTTATTCTTTATGCGTATTTGCCACATCCTTGGTTAATTTGGAAAGATAATCTATTATGTTATTCTGACCTCAGGGAACTCGAGGTATTTTTTATATTTTACACTTACTTTAGAAGCTCAAGAGCTTGTCGGTGATAAGGGGCATATTCAAGTTTATAAATCTTCTAAATGCCAAGGACGTGATTTATCATAAGCTGTGAGTCACCAAAGAGTTGGAGATTTTTGATTTTGATATGGATTGTAATCTCTAGTCATGCTATCAGAGCTTCATACTCGACTTCATTATTGGTGAGAGCCTCAGTTAAATTGAACAAGAATTTAATTATACCCCCTTCAGTCAATATGAAGATGAGATTGATGACGGCTTGTACTCTTGCGAGGTTTTGCGGTCAGGTAGGCTTGACTAATAATGCCTTGTCGAAGTACATCTCCCAAAATGATATTTTTTTGTTCTCCTTGACTTGCATGATTTTCTCATCGGGCAAATCATTATTGAGTGGAGAATCTGTAGGAATAGGATGTGTGGCAAGAAAATTTGCTAAGGCTTATTTTTTCACCGCCATTTATGGCATATATATGATTCAAACTACAATAGTATTACTGTCCACCTAGCTAAATTACATGTAAACACTAGCCTTATCATCATGAACTTCAATAGATTGATCTTTGATATCAACCTCATCTTATAAGACAACTTGTAATGGCGGAGTTTCTGGACTGCAAAAATCAATGCCAAACAATATTTCTTGATAA